GACTGAACTCTGAGACAGAGACACAGGAGCCCACGCTGCCAACGAGGGATCCACAGGTGAGCGTTCTGGCCCCGGCAACCTTGACCTGAACTCCCCGAGCTCCGGGAACAGCCCCAGGGAGGGGTTGCTCGGGGAGAGACCCAGGGACCCGCCCTCCTGGGCTCACTCCTGGGCTCCCGGGAGCCCCGTGGCTGGGGGCAGCCGAGCTCTGCCAGGGGCGGCTGGCACTTACTGGTGAAAGAGGGAGCTGAGGAAACGAACAGTGGCCCGGGCTCCTAGGTGTGCCACAGATTCTCCGAGCCTCGGTTTCCTCGTCTGTGCAACAAGGAGTCCATTGCACTCTACATTGGCTGTGTTCCTGGCTTGGAGGCAGAAGCCCAGGCCGTATCCGCCGGTGCGTCCATCGTGCGGAGCGCTGAATTCTCGACTGCAGGGCGTGGCCACGGGACGCTCCCTGGGCTCACGGGATGCTTTGGATGCATCCCGGCCACGGACGCTCACCTGCTACTTTGTGGTCCGCAGGCATGGCAGAGCCTAAGGCTTGCAACCACGTATGGCGACGCCTCCCATCAGTCTCCTCTGGCCGGGTGCGGTGGCTCACACCTCCAATCCCAGCACTTTGCAAGGATGAGGCAAGGAGGATCGCTGGAGCCCAGGAGTTCAAGACCAGCCTGGGCAACATAGCGAGACCCCACCTCTACAGAATTTTTTTAAAAAATTTAACTGGGCATGGTATTGTGCACCTGTAGTCCCAGCTACTCGGGAGGCTGAGGTGGGAAGATCCCTTGAACCCAGGAGTTCAAGGCTGCAGTGAGCTGTGATGATGCCACTGCACTCCAGCCTGGGCGACAGAGCGAGACCCTGTCTCCGAATAAATAAATAAGTAAATCTCCCCTATGTGTCCTTATGTGGCCCTGTCTCTCTGTCCTGTTGGTTTTGTCTCTGTGGAGCACCCTGCCAAACAGCAAAGAGAGGCTGCAGGGGGAGAGACTGTGCTTCGTGCCACTGGGGAACATGGAGCTCAAGGGACTAACGGAAAAGCAAAGAACCTATGACCATATGCAGAGTGATACGTTACCATTTCCAAAGGCTAGACATATGACTTCCATGCAAAACTAAAATCAACACGTGCCAAAGAATGTATTCAGCTCATTAATAAACAATAAGCAGGAAACCATAAGCCAGGGGTCCTCAAACTTTTTAAACAAGGGGCCAGCTCACCGTACCTCAGACCATTGTGGGGCCAGACTATAGTTTAAAAAAAAAACTATGAACAAATTCCTATGCACACTGCATATATCTTATTTTGAAGTAAAAAAAACAAACAGGCAAAAACACCCGCATGTGGCCCACGGGCCGTAGTTTGAGGACGCCTGCTAAGCTATTGACCCATTCAATAGAAACGGGCAGTGCAGAGATGCTCACTGGCAGCCGGGATGCTGGGGGACTCGCTCACAGGGCCAGGCTGCCGAGCGTCCCACAGGCCATGGAAAGATAATGTTTGTGGTTATCCTGTCTACAGAAAGGAAATCAATGGGATACCCACCCGGCAAAGCTCATTTGCATCACTGCAGGCAAAACTGTTTGCCTTACTCTCCGTTTTCTGCCCCGTTAACCTCTGTGCCTGGGGGTCTGTGAAACAGTGTGGCCAACAGGAAGTCGGGGAGAGGAGCCCCCCAGAAGGGGTCCCCTGCAGGCCACTGGCCAGAGCCACCCTCCCAGTTGGCCGAGCGTAATTCCTGACGGGCGCCGTGCTCTTATGCTCGTGAACAGAAAATCTAAGCAACTAACTTCTAGAGCCCTGCTGCCAAGAGACAGGGTGTGGCCACCTGGAATTCACGGCTGGACCGTCCACCGGAGACGTGGAGCTTGCAAACCGAAGTGAGGAATCAGTTGAATCAGTTCTTGTGCAGCAAATCCTTAGAGAAAGCATCCCAGGCCATGAAAATAAAAGGGAACCAGGCAGTGGCTTTGGGGGTGCAGCATAAAATAGAGGATTCACCTAATAGGGAGGAAAGCCAAAGTACCTGAGTGTGTCAGACGCCTCTGGACTTGCAAAGTCCTCGGGGAGCCAAACGGAAATGTCACTCAATCACCAGCTCGGTATTTGTCTCAGATTTGAATGACTCCCCTCCCCCTTGAATACATGCCTAGAAACATTAGATGGAAGGAAAACATTTTCTCTCCGAATGATCTTCAATGCACGTACCCCAAATCTGACTCAGCTGTGATTTCTGGGGAGACTGTGGCTGAGAGGGAGACGGCTCTTAGATGCCCTTCCAACATTTGAATAAAGAAAAAGACGCTCTAAGAAACCACCTGCCGCCTGGCCCTGCAAAAAGTGCTTTTTTAATTGTCTGGTCACTCTCCTTGTTTGGATTAGAAAAATAAAGCATGCTCTCATTGCAGAGGGAAAAAAAAAAAAAAGAAACACATGATTTTGAATGGCTTCTGTCTCCCCTGCTTTGACAAGGCTAGCTAGAGACACCATCAATAGTTAAGTCTGGGTACCTCTTTAATACAGTTTTGCTGAAAGAAATGGTGTTCCAAATTAGTAATGTTCATCACACCTGAATTAACACTAAAACTTCCATCAAATTAAAATCATTTTGCAAGACTGGGATTGTTTCTGCAATGCTGCCTGAAGCCCAGTAATGAAGGCATGATCATGAATAAAAATCAGGACATAAAATGGACCCCCGAACATCATCCCAGTCTCTGAGCCGGGGACCAGGGGTGGGGAATTAAACAATCACATGCAAATTTGGTTTCAAAGATCTTCAGGTTGGCGGCTGTCAGTGGCTTGTTGTTCAGACAGGTCAGAGGAGCGTGTGCTGCGTGGTTTTAGGGCCGGCGAGAGAACGGCAGAGGGTGCTGGGGTGGGAGGGGAGGAGAAAGCCCCCAACCAGCCCAGCACCCAAACAAAGCCCTCCCTTCCCCTCCCGTTGGAGGCACGGAATCCAATTTAATTCCTAAACCCCAGCACTTTCCAGGGTCTTTAAAATGGGATTAGCCCGAAGCAATTATGTTGGAGAGACTGACCAGGAAATGTTAAAGGTACTCCCTCCTGCCCACTGGATGGAACTGTTGGCCAGTTCGATAGGGATGCATTTCCACGGTGCTGAACAATGGAATAATCACACAAGGAGATGTGCAAAGTCCACTTGGCAGGCCTGCCCGTGTTCCTGGAGAAGAGGCAGTTGTCAGCAATTTAGGGGTCTGAAACTGGTGCTTACCAGCACACACCCCCAGCTGTGTCTGGCTGGGCTAGAGGCTGCCTCCCTTCTCAGCCCTGAGAGCACTCAGACTGCAGAGCATCCTCCTGCATTTTGCAACCCTGAAACACGGACTCTTTTGTGTGGCATCCGTTTGAAGGGAATCCGTGGAATGCACGTGAGTGTGTTGGTAAATTTTGTATGCATTTTTCTATACAAGGGAGTCTTTTATCTGCCCATGGAAATATATATATATATATAAACATATACGTACGTACATATGCAAAGATGCAAAATCTCTTAGTAGAAATGCACATTTTTTAAAAAATGGGCTACAGATCTGCTAAATAAAGAATACATTTCTCGAAGTTGGTGTGCTGTTAAGAAGAATCTTGAATAGACAGGACACAATGCCTTCCTGTCAAGCATAAATGGAGATGTCTCAAATTAGCCGGTGAAAGTCGTCCCTGCTCTGTGTGAGACCTCATTTGGAGTGCTGTCGGCTGCCTGATTATATCGGGGTGTGGGTAAGGGGGGGGGCAGGGCAGGAGAAAGAAACCAGCTCCTCACAGCTCTGTAAAACAATGGAAAAGTACGTTATCTTACCCAAAAAAAAAAAAAAAATCTAGAAAGCAAAGAAAGAGTTCAACTTTGTTAAAATAAATAAGACCAAAAAAAAAGGGGGGGGGGTTAATGTGTGTTGGACATAGAAAATAGTAGCTGCCTGAAATATTGGAGATAAGTATATTGGATGATCTGTTGGTGGAATCTTACTTGCCTCTGATTTTTATTACATTCTTACCTCTTTTTAGGTCCTATTTTTCCCCCTTTATCCACTAATTTGTAATGAACTGACGCTGACAGTAGCTGAAACATAAAGGATAAGAAAACTCTGCTCATTGACTGCAAAACATTTTATTACAGGCGTCAAATGCCAGTGTATGTGTCTGAATGCACACTCGATACACAGAGTGCTTTGCTAAAAAAAAAAAAAAATTAAAGGAAAGAATAAATCAAGGAAGAAGACAGGCAGCGATGGAAGGAGGGAATTTCTAAATACTGAAGAATAGCTCTTGTATTAGAAGACTATGTATAAGACACATCTTCATGAAAGCTATACCATTTTACCTGTTTTATTTGATTATGTGGGTACATAGGGACCCCAAAACTAACTCTTTGAAAAACCCAACCAGGAAGAGCAGTCAAATGCACCCCCACTTATTTCCCTTCACTAAGTTCCCTTTCACTCAGGACATCTGCAAACATCGCAATCCAATGGGGTATCATGCTCTCAAGAGTGTGTGTGTGTGTGTGTGTGTGTGTTTCCGCCTTGTCTGTTACATTAACGTCCGACGTTCCCAGTTTGCGTTCCTACACTCTCACATTGGTACTGAGACCGGGTCAGAGCACTGGCACCTTCCACGGTGGAAGCTCCGTCAGCAGCACCTGGAGAGGGCAGTTCCACCTGTGCACTGGCCCGTGTCCAACCCCCACAGGCCGCTGCCCCGCGCCCTTCCATGAGGGAAGCCCAGAGCTCACCATGTCCCCATACACCCACCACTGCCCAGGCGTTGTTTCAGCCGTGGGCTTTTTCTTCTTCCCGACCACCCCCACTTGAAATGCTCGAGTCCTGGGTTGAGTGAAACTCACTCCTTCCTTGTGTCGCCCTGGCCAGAGCGTCCGGCAGAAGGGGTGGTATTGCCAACGCTGGGTTGGAAGGGTCATGCTCATTCTCCTCTCTCTCTCTCTCTCTCTCTCTCTCTCTCTCTGTCATCACTCCCTTAGGGGAAGTCGTGCCTGGGGCCACTCTCTGTAGAGACCCACAGGCCCAGGAGCTGAGGTCCCCCCACCACAGCCCACGGAGAACTTGGCAGTGGGTCCTTAGCCCCGGTAGAAGCTTCCGATGACGCGGCCCTGGCCAGCAACTCACCTGCAACCTCACAAGGGACCCTGAGCCGGGACCACCACCTGCCGACTCACTGGCAGCTTCCCAGGAGAAAGGAGCATGAACTCTGAGGCCAGACGGGCCCCGGCCAACCCAGCTCCACCTGCATGCAGCTCTGTGACCTTAGACAAGTCACCTGTCCCTTCTGCCCTCGGTTTCCTCATCTGAGAAATGGGGCCAAGAGCAGCACCTATCTGAAAGGGGCGTGTGAAGATTAAATGAGCTTACCGATGTGAGGGCTGAGCACGGACCAGCCCCCTTTAAGTCTGAAGCCGTGTTTATGAATATTCAGTGCTGGCAGCCGAAAATCAGATCCCTTAGAATCAGAAATTTGAACTCTGGCCAACGACCCCTGTGCTGGTTGAGAAGGTCTCAGGGATTCGTAGTTCATGGAAAATTACTCCACAAAAACAGAAACAGCCCGAAGGCTTTGGAGAAGGTGCGGACCCAGCTGCCGTCTTCCCTCCCACGGCCACTGGCCAACCAAGTCCCCCAGCCCCTCGGAAAGACGGAATCAGGAGAGAAAATGTCAGACAAATACTCGGGGTGTGTATACACTTCTCCCGGAAATCCCGAGCGCTTTGCATGTTTTAGCTAATAGTTCCTTACAGCGGACTCTGGTGACCCTTTCATAACCTGCTTGCCGCTCTATCTGTCCACAAACAAGCCTTGGCGATACATTTTTTACACTTGGCTCATTCTGTTTTTCCCAGTTGCATTTGGTGTCTTACTCTCCCCAACCTAAAGAACAAAAGTGCATATTAATAGAGATTTGATTAGCACGGCCGACACGAACTCTGTCTCCGTTCCTTTCGACAGTGGGGTTTAAGTCTTTCACTTCTTTTCCACCTTCATCCAATGATATAGCCAGTGTCCCTTTGGGCAGAGCTGGCTCACCGGTGCCACGGGGAGGTGCAGAAGTGAGCGAAGTACACCCCCTCCTTCAGGAGGGCTGGAGTCCAGCGGGGGCTGGGACAACAGAGAGAGGGGACCGGCCGGCGTGTGGCTTTAACACGGGCTGGAGCCCGAGTCCCTCGCTTCTGGCTGCGAGAGCTTGAGCAAATCATTGCCACAGCGGCGGGGTCTCCGCCTGTGACTTGGGAGTAAAGGCCTTGAGGAACTACGAAGGCTGAAGACTTGTGCACGCAAACCCTCTTTATGGTAATACCTCCCCTCCTAGAAGATATTCCTATTCGTCTCACTTGAGAGCGAGGGGAGCCACTGTCCTGTGACACCCCAATAAAATTAGCTGGAGTCTCCAGCTAATTAAAAATAAAATCGAACTTTGTTTGTAGGGCAGACTTCTCCCAAGTTTTTTCTGTTTTCACCTATTTCTCCTCCTCCTCATGCCTTGCGGCTCTTGCCTTCTCCCCAACGTGTAGTAACCTGAACACAGAAGCCAGCTTTGTTCTCTAGAATTCCCCTAAATCTGCTCTGCCAGATACTGGGTGGGGGAGATTGGGGGAGTAACGAAACCACAGCAGTACATTCCGGGGTGTGGGGTGGACGGGACACCCCGTTCTTACGGGGGCTCTGGCCGCACCATCCTGGGGAGGGTCGCAGGTCACCTGTTCTCCGCCGATGACCTCCTGCCAGGCTGCTCCTCTCTGTCCTCTGCCTTCATCCCCCGCTGCTCCTCCCTCGTGGACTCACCCCCCAAGCACCCCGGCGACTGCCGGTCTTTGCGCACACGCCTCGGGTCACGCCTTCACTGACATCCTTCTTTCCCTCCCAGCCCGGCCCTGTGGGATGTCTTTCTACAACCAGAAAAGGAAACCCAGGGAGATTTCTAAACTCAGGCCGTTCTCACCCCCAGGAGAGAAACCTGCTTCCCAGTGCCCGAGCTCACGACCCAGCCCTGCCAACCCGTCCTCACCATCCATCGGGGAGAGCAACGGTGACAAGGCCGGCGGAGAGAGGAAACGTCCGGGTCCGCACGGGATGGGCGAGGAGGTGAGGGGATCTGGGGCTCTGGTGGAAAAGGTGATATCTGAGCTACACATTGAAGAGCGCGCACGAATGCAATAGGCAGATCCTGGAAAATGGCATTTCCATCCGAGGGTGCAAGGTGACAAGAGACCCAGTGTCCCCAGTCGGGACAACAGGAGCGCGTGTGAAAAAAGAACCACAATCTGACGTGAACGCAGTGTCAGGTGCAGCGAGTGAAAACTAGCAGAGCAGAAGTAACTCGAGACACAGACAGAAACGTGCAACTGGGGGATTCGAGCGTGGTATTTGATAGAACGTGATTTGGACGATTCTGTAGGCAGTGCACGTTTTTTTGAGCTCCGAAATGAAGTTATCCAGAGAGATTTATGTGTGCAGTGGAGGCTTGGTCCAGACACCCCCACGGTTTCCTCCCACTTTCAGATCCTCATCCCGAGATCAGACCTGCAGGTCTAGACGGTGGGTGTAGACAGTGGGTCTAGAGGGCAGGTCTTCTGCACCACAGAAGCAGGACTGAGGGGGGCTGAGGCCGGAATGGGGGACCCTCAGGCGCCCACAGCAGGACACCAAGCGGGGTGAGGAGAACCTGTAAACACTGGTACATTTTTCCAACACGTGTGCATCTCTCTGTGTAGCAAAAGCACAACTACGACCTAAAATTTCAAGACCCTCCATACTACTTGCTTGTTACATTGCTCTGTGTGTGTGTGTGTGTGTGTGTGTGTGTGTGTATCTGCCAATTGAACAGAATCCACAGAACATAACCCGATTGTTAGAACAATGTTGAAGAGGAGGAAGGAGCAATTTTTTTCCTTCCACCTAGCTCAGGTTCATTAGTCGTGGTTCCTACAACAAAAGGCAGACTAACAAGAGCAAAACAAGCAAGTGGGAATGTGAACGTCACATCTCCACGGGGCCCACTTAGGGGATGAGTGGGTCTCAAAGAGGAGGTTTAGAACTCCGGCCTCTGGAGCACCTTCCACAAGAAAACAGCAAATGCTTAGAGACGTGACAAGACAAAGGGGAGGGGCTCTGGGTCACTACGGCAGCAAGTTTTAGGAAGGGAAACGAGCACGAGAGTTTGTGTAGATGCTCACGTGCCGCGTCTTGGGTGGTAAGAGCCCAGCGTGCTCTGCAACGGCCGGCCCAGCCCACCTGGGGAGAGAAGGATGGGGGGCCCTGTCCCCATGAGTGTGTCCTGCTCTCAGGCCAACAGAGGCCTGCGTCTGCTGCTTCTCAGCGGCCTTCCACAGCAGTATTCCAGGGAGGCACATTCTGTCCCTACGCCGGCCCCTGCAGACCTCTCCGACCACCTGCGGGGCAGTGAGCAGCCCGGGAGCCCAGCGCCCGGCCCAGCCCCAGTCTCTGAGCCGCAGGGCGGAGAACAGGGCAGAGAACCGCACGGAGCCGGTGCAGACCGAGCCACGGACCCCCGCAGACAGGTGCATAAATTTGGCTCTTCCCACGGACGCGTCTTTTCTGAGGAAGGAAACAACCCTTTGGCTACAACGCAGACTTCACGGTGGGGGGAAACAACATCTGGAGCGGTGCAGGCCCAGGCAGCCGGGGGAGGGGGTGGTCCGGCGGGGCCTGGTCCGGGGACCCCATCCTCTCCGGCCCAGCAAACAGCCACCGGCAGCATATGTCCACACGCTAAGGAGCGCCAGGCTCGTTCAGGCACATCTGCCTCCCTCGAAGTCACGCAGCCAGCGGAAGGTTGTGCCGCGTGCAAATGGCCCTGGGGTGCCGGGGTCCTGGGGCCGCGTGACCTGCTCCTCTTCCACACCCCACAAAGGGGACGCGGACCCCGGGGAAGGCCGGCCGAGATCATTTGTTCTCGGGGTCGCTGCGGGAGGCGTGTGACGCCTGGCCCTGACTCCCGCCCTCCCACTCGGTAAGTGGCAGAGCGCTGCGGTGTCAGCGGTGGGAGTGGCGGGCACCTTCGAGGGGGTCCCAGGCTCTGAGCGGGGAGAGGGTCCCTCTCCTGAGGTCGCCCAGCATGGTCCCCCTACCGTGCGATCAAACACTGGACCGAATTCCTTCTCTCCAACGTGTTGTGTGCCCCCCGCCCTCCCCAGACTGGTGTCGGGCACCCAGCTCTCAGCGTTCGGGAGAACAACCGTGGGGGTGACCCGTGCCATGGGGGTGACCCGTGCCATGGGGGTGACCCGTGCCATGTTCGTCTCTCTCCGTGCCGGGCCTAGTTCACTTGACATGACTAACGGCCTCCGTTCCATCCATGTGGCTGCAGATCACAGGGTTCCCTTCTGTTTGTGGCCGAATAATACTCCGTTGTGTGTGCACCACGTTGCTCTACCCGGTGATTCCTGATGGACTCGCCACAGGCTGACCGGGAGACCTGGCCGTTGTGTGTCTCGACGCTCGTGCTTGCCGGCTCTGTTCGTCGGATACGCGCCTGCCCCGCCACAGTCTAGACTCGCGAAACCCTCGTAAAGTGTTGGCCAGCAAGCATGCCCGGGCTCCTGACTCCTGTCCTACCACGGGGTGGATGTGATAATTACCCGTCGCGTTTGTCAATGAACAAATGACAAGTTATATTCCCAAAAGCGAGTGTGGTTTCCTATTCCAAACATCTCAGTCGGGCTTCTATCAACTTGCTAACTCTTTGCCTAATAAATAAAGAAAGGAGACGCCTGCTGGGTTATAAACGCCCCAAGATTTCCCTTGATCTCACCGCACACACCAGCGCTGTCCGGACACTCTTCCGGGGGAGGGGGTGGTCCGGAAGACGGACTTGGGTTTGGGCTCCCGTCTCCATTTCTGCACATGCCAGCCCTCTCCTGCCGCCCTTCAGTGGTTCAGAGCTCAGATTTCATTCTCATAACCACAATTAGTAAGATTCACGTTGTAGAAGAAAGCTAAATCGTTCATTTGTGTTAACTCCGCACTTGGGACCGATAACCTCACCACGAGAGAGCGAAGCTACGTTCCGTCTTCCGGAAACACGTCCACGGCCGTTGCCTGCCGAGTGATCCCGGGCCCTGGGGACCGGGGCCTCCGTGTCTTACGTAAAAGCAGAGTTTTCGGAAAAGTCATTTCTCCCAACTAGGCATGTGAAACTATGCCGCCACTTTAACATGGAAATCTTGGGGGGGGGGAATAGAGAGAAATCATGTGTATGAGTGAGTTTCCATTTGGTTCTAGGGCTGAAATCTGTTTTTACTAAGTACAGTGTGGCTCACCGAGTCCAACCTAAAAGCGAGAGGCAGAGGCCTTCTCTTTCCACCCAGCTGCTCCCCTGTGTCCAGTCACGTGGGTGCACGTAGACCTCCGCCAGCTGCTCACTTCTGATCAGGCCCACTCTGAGGCCTTTCAAGCACTGCCTGTGCCGAAGCTCACAAAGTGAAAATGCACGATGTCCTCTGCCTTCTCCTCTCGCACCGCGTTCGATTCCCAAGGAAATCTGGCTAAAGATCTTTCCTATCTACCCATGTTACTTTCTCTTACTGCCTTTTCCACCGTTGAAACTCCTTTCAATCTGTGATGCTCAACACAGCCTCCTCTGGGATTGTGACTTTGCCTGTCCACGCACACCCCTTGTCACGCATGTGCACACGCACACACATGCACATGCATACACGCATACACACACATGCACAGTGCACGCATACACACACACACGCACATGCACATGCATACACACATGCACATGCATACACACGCACACACATGCACGTGCATACATGTGCACACACGCACATACACACGCACACACACGCACACACATGCACACACGCACACACACCCCCCTCAGACTGCCAGTGGCGACATGGCGCAAGGGCGTTTGCCCAGCAGCCATCTCGACCCCAGCCCTGCGAGGGGCGGACTCGGCAATCACTGCCGGGCGGGAGGCCTGTCACGTGGCACGCCACTCGGCGTGATAGGTCTTTTACGTGATGTGAATCGATGTCTAATTGTGGCTCTGATTGCACCGGACGTCGACAGCGTGCGTGGAGCTCCCCCAGCCCCTGGAGAACCAAGGAAATAAGAAGAATATTACAAAGAACTGAGCTTTTCATACCATGAAGGGAAAAGGAGTCTCAGTGGCCGTGTGGGTAAAAGTGCAGAAAGCCCCCCCTGCCTGGCGTGGGCGCAGCCACCAGGACAGCGCCTCGCCCACCTGTGCACACTTGGCCTTTCCAGGAAGTGCTGCCTGAGCCGGCCCCACGGAGACGCCGGGTGCCACACCCAGCAGGCCCGGTTCCACCAGGGCTCCAGCCGTCCCGCCCTGCAGAGCTGTGCGGACTCCGCCCACCTCACCCCTCGTGGAGATCAGAGGGGAGCGTGTGGTATCTACAACGGCGCACCAGTGGTTCCTCTCCACAAAATTAACAAGCCAAGAGCGGGCGATGAGAACGTGAACCTGAGCTTGCATCTAGCGGAGACAAAGTCCCACCTTCCAACGGCCAATGCTGCACTCTGTGGTCAGCGGTCCGGCAAAAGGACCGACAGAGGCTAGAAAACACAGAAGTTTCCCTTACGACCCTGAGCGACTGCTTCCCTTAAAGGAAGCATTTAGACCCATGCTCTGACCATGGACGTAGACACGAGCAACCAAGCTTAAAAAAGAGAAAAACAGGATGTGAACACAACAGCAATTTTTTATGATGGAAAATTGGTAGCAATTCTCTATGACAGAGTAAGGTCCCTCAGCCACCGGACACACGTGTGGGCACAGGTCTGAGCCCTGCCGGGAGCCCACGCGGGGCCCAGAAACAGTGCCCGGAAGGGAGCCCCACGTGTGTGGCCAGGTTCGCTGACTCCCGCCCTGGCAGAATAACCTGGAATAGATTTTTAAATGACATCCCAGGACTCCTTGCTGTTTGAATTTTTTTATCAATAGTATTTATACCATTGATATTTTTACCTTTGCTGGGATGTGCATTTTTTTCCCATATATTTTATGTCTTTTTTTAAAAGGTGCTTTTAAAAAATAATAATCTAACTATGGCTTAATTGCTGGGGAAAGAGAGCTAAGATGTGAT